TTAATTTTGTTTCAAATATCTACTTTCACCCCCAGGAATCTGGACTCTGCATCTGGATTTTCTCTTTCAAATCTTCCCCACCTGAAACCCTTGTCATGATTTCCCTCACATGATGCAAGCTGTAATATGATAGGAGACTGTTTGGAACAAAGACAGGAAAAGTGCGTCTCCTTTCCAAGGTCATCGGTGCTTCCTACCTTTTGCTCTCTGCTGCACTGAAAGAGAAGATTGACTGCAGAAAAAAACAAGAGCGTGCAGCCAAGTGGGGCAGAATGATGTGTGCACGTGCTTTTATAAAGGCGTTGGAGTGCTCTTTTTATTTTTTGAAAGTCACTGCAGCCTGGCGTGATTTTTTTCTGCAAATAGGCAGTGGGCTCGCTTTAATTTTTCACAAGTTCTTCTTATTAAATACAATTACTGAGAGAGGAATGGACTTTTATATTTATTTAGGATTTATTTTTTGGCCAAATGGCCTTTTTAAATTGGTGGTTGCCAAACTTTTCAGCTTCCGACCCACAACACAATGGCATCAGAGACTTGTGACCTCAACTGTCACTACTAAACATTAAGTCAATAAACAAAATCTAATGACGCCACAAATGGCCTCAGCAAGTTTTATAATGTTTACATTTGTTTATTACTACAATTTATTTTTATATTTTACACTAATCATTCCAAAATATTTATCAGAATTCATTTTTAAACTTGATCTGTCTTCTAGAAATCCTCGCATGACCCATACTTGGTGTTTTATGACCCACAGTGTGATCCCAACCCCAGCTTTGGAAACCTTTGCTTTACATGGCATCACATGTATTGTAGCTTCATGATATTGTTTTTACTGTATCATTTGGCTTTAATGAATGCACATCCAATCTAATTTGTCTGATTTCTTCTAAGAGAAGATTTCAGCTCAAAACATACAAGAATAATAATTTTCTAAAAATCTCTCTTTGGCTTCAAAACCAGACTTAACCTCAACATCATGACGTTGGTTTGAAACGACAAAATGCTGAGGCTGCAAAAATCAAAAGATGAACTTTGACATGACCTTCAGAACAATTTTAAACTCGCAATTTTAATTCTCTTTTCTGTAAAAAAAACCAAACAACAACCTGGCAACAAAATGATGATGAAAGTGACTTTGAATGTGGCTAGGCTGCCGGTGCCAGATGGGCCGGTCACATCCATCTCTAGGGTTTAAAGAAAATTGTCAAATAAAAAAAGAAGAAAATTTCCATTAAGGACAAAACAAAAGCCTCAATAATGTCAGAGGAGAATGGGCAGACTGGTTCAAGATGACAAAAAGCCAACGGCAGCTCAAATACCCACTAAGGTCTGCAGAACTCCATCTCTGAACGTGCAACACGTCCAACCTGCAGGTGACACTCCTGTCAGCTAACAGCAGGAAACTGAAGTTCACACAGACTCATCAAAACGGGACAATAAAAGATTGGGAAAATATTGCCTAGTAGTCACGGGCTATTGAACTAGGGGAATTGGGGCCAAATCAAGCCCATGGGTGAGCTCAGTTCGGCCACCAGTGGATTCATTTTTAAATAAAAAAGATTTTTAAACCATAAAACAAACTTAATGACAATACCAGCTGGATGTCCGGCTGCTGGGCTCTTGGTTTTCAGTAACCTTGGCCCCCTGAGCAATTTAGTTGTATAGACCTGGGTCTGATGAGTCTCTTTAAACCTCAGAGATGATAGGGGAAAATTCCAGTAGACCAGTAATTTCTGAAATACTCAGACCAACTCATCTGGCACCAACTACCACCACATTTGACACTTTTAAACCATTGTCTTCATCATTTCAATGCCCAGTTTGAACTTAAGCAAGTCATCTTCTCCACACCTAAAGAGCTGCCGTCATGTAACTGGCTGTCAGTGTGTGTATTCGTGTGGGGAATATTAAGGAGCAGACTACTTTGAATTTATATATATATATATATATATATACACACACA